TCCGGTTTGCTTGATGTTAAGAGCACCTTCGAACGTGCTTGAAGGGCTTCTTGATCCGTGTCAGACGGATGCTTCATTGACGGCGTGTTGTCAGGACGATCTCTCCGCTTCATACCACGAAGTTCTTCAAAAGGCAGCTTCGCAGGAGGTCAGACTCGCCTGCATTCCTCTGAAAGGAAGGACCTGACGGCTGCGAAAGAAGCGAGCTCGTCGAGCCTGATTCCGCCTTTAATCTGGACTGATTGAGCTTGGCGAGGGCTGCAACATATGATCGTTGATCGGAGTGCACTTTTCAGAACGATGTCTATGATTCCGTGAATGGCGTCCAAGTGTCTGAGACGTTTATCCAGACTTGTCCTTCCTACTTCCACCTTTATCCTCCCCGTTCTTGGCTTGTTCCCTAGCCGTTCGTATCAACAACAAAATCGAGGCAACGCCTCCATGGTCCGTCGATCGCAAGTGACGTCGCTTGACGTCACCCAGTGATCTGCCTGCAGGCGGGGCCCTCCAGACCAGGCGCACGAAACGTGGAAGCAGATTCGGCAAGATTCGGACAGGCTAGAGCAGAGCTTTGACGCCGAAGCCGATGCGGACGCGAGCTGGGAACGACGAGAGCTACGACGACAACAAGTAAGGCTGGGAGATTGTACTAAAGTTCCATTCAGAGTCCGATTTGTTTCTGGTAGACGTTGCAATAGCGTTGCGCTCCGTTCTGCTGATTGCTTGCCGGTTCGTGTTGCATCCGTCTGTCTCTAAGGGTTTGTCCATCTTCGCTTTGTACCCTCGTCCTTAAAATGCCTTGCTCGGACACTCTGCCCTGCTCGGATCTGACACTCATGCGGGCCTTCGGTTTATGAGGGAACTATTCTCATTTCAACGTGTAGGACTTTCTTGTGCTTCAGATAGCGCGGACAGAGCTTCTCCTTTAGCACAAAGGCTGCAAAGAAAATCAGTCCAAGGATCTCAAACAGTATTTACGGAAATGCTGTAAAGTTCGCGCTTTGGAGAGCTACCGTTCTGTTTCTCCTAAGAACGATGTTAGGCTAAAGGGTGCCGTCTTTTTCCTGTGTTGATGCGCCATATCAGCGTTCTTGCTTCGCGTCCACGATCCCAGGTTTTCCACGTATTTTCTTGGAGTTTAAGACTGTGCTCTGATTATTTGCAGGCAGGTTAGCGGCTCACCTCCTGTTGAGAAAAGCAATAGGCGGGACTGGGGCTTGGAGCTACGGCTTCCTGCGCTTTTGAGCTTCATAAAGTTTTGACACGAGATGTGCACATGTGGGCGAGAACTTCGCATTGGGTTGACTAGCCTTTCCATTGAAGGCCCAGTCTCTCTGAGGACGAGACATCGGTGAGGACGAGAGTGTTTTCCAATGGAGGGAAATCAATCATTAAGCGGAGTGTCTATATTTGCAAGCAACTTTGCGACTATCTCGAAGTTCTTCCCTTTTGGTTGCACTCAAGCCGAGTGTAGCCGCTTTGTACAGAACCATGTTGTATGGTGTGAAAACATACTCACTGATGCTTGCATGCTCGTGGGTCCAGTGACTATGGGTGCCAGAAGAATTGTGGGAACGTGTCATGCTGGCGGTGTGTAGCCGCCATGTATATCAAGCCATGCACGCGTGTAGACCGTATATCATATGCGGCCCGGTACCTTCAGTACTGACTGAGTGTGCTGCACTTATTATGTGCATGCATGAAAGATAAGGGCGGTACTTACAGTCTATTTCTTGTATATGACATGACTGCATCGATGTCCGATCCGATCGATTCTTGACTGAACTTGCTCGGTGCGCGTTCGGATGGGCAGGCCCTATGCATGACGGTAACGGCACCCGGCACTGTCGAGATTAGGGCAACGCGTTATAGCAGTATGTGAGTGACCGTGGTTAAGCATGTCAAACCGCCATGCCTACTACACATAACAAAACAGAGCGCCGTGAGCCGAGGGCTTTTTTAAGTGAAGCTCTCGGAACCTTGAAGTGACGCGTGGTGATCGGAGGTCCGTAGATTTTCAATCGGACGGCAGTCGCTTTGTACCGTCGCGCGCAACTCGGAATGTCAAATTTGACTCGGCATCGGCCGGAGTCTTGGCTAGTAGCCTAGTGGCGAGTCAGTGTCAGTGGAAGTCGCATCGATTTCCGAGTCAAATTTAAAATTCGCGACCCGGCAGCTCAGATTCGACACTGCAGTCAACAGTGAGCCTAGGCTAGTAGCCTAGTACTGAGTGAGTGTCAGCTCGGACTGCTCGGTTCTTGACTTCAGTTTAAAATTCCGCGACTCGGCAGCCCGAACACAACACTTGCGACCATCCGCGATGCCGAACTGCCGTGTACCCACGGTCCACGTGCGTACCACATGGCTGCCACGCGGCAATCACCGGAACCGAGAGCTTCATTTAAAAAAGCCCAGTTTGGCAAATTAGTTACCTTATGACATGGTCAGACTGATGCCCAGTCACACGACTGCCAGCCATGAATGATGACGAACCGTGGAAGTGGGTCACTAAGCTGTGTGCTTAGTGACCCTTGCAAGACAATTGTCTGCATCCTCTTGACCACCGCCAATTGCAACTTATGTAAGCAAGTTGCCCATTCCCTGCAATCTGAATGCCAATATGTGCCAGTGGACGAGTGTCAATGTCACAACACTTTCAGAACAAGGCTTCTTCGCAGCCTGCATCACCCACCGAATGAAACCTGGAATCATACCAGACCTGATCGTCTATATCCATTTCCGAGTTGCGATACCCTCAACTTCTACTTCCTCTTGCCAGACTTCGTCTTAATCTTGACAGTCTTCTTCGTCATGCTCTGCCGCGACACGGGCGCTCTGTCACGAAGGCCGAGCGCCTGGATGAGGACACCATACCGGTCGGGCTTCGTGCGACGCAGGTACACCAACAACCTTCTCCGCTGGCCCAGCATCTTCTCCAGCCCCCTCCTTGACGAGAAGTCCTGAGCAAGAGTAAGAGCGAGGGCTTCAGCGCAAGGACGACGCGGAGGCAGCCTTCAAGACAGAGTCGAACCAATGAAGACTTCCGCAAGCAGAACCTGCAAGTACGTTACTGATGCAGACCCATAGTCTATTGCGACGCTGGTTGCTTAGGTGGTTGTTGGGCTGTGGGTAGCTTAGCTTGATCACTTAGCTTGATCAACGTTCACCCCGGCGGAATAGCCTCGAAACAAACGAAGCAGTTGAATAGCAATCTTGATTGATGCGAATCGGTCAAGAGCGCCCGGGCGACTGCAGCAGCTTGGTGGAAGCACTACGCTCTTCTAAGAAAACGACAAGGCAACAATGGAAAAGCAGTCTGAGTTGGAAACAGCCTCGTAGGAAAAACGTACAGGATGGGAAGCAGCCAGCATCGAGGAAGATTACGAAAGCGAGCAGCTCACCTTCTTGTGCTCGAGCAGGTGCGTCGTCATATACTTGATCCTCTCGGTCAACAGAGCAACTGCAACAGAGCGGAAAGCGGATTCGTCATCTCCTAACCCTTTTTGCTCTTCTTTGAACGTTGCTGAGCCAAGCCCTTTACTCATGTCTACTGACCTCAACCTGCACGTTTCTCTCTGGCTTGTTTCCTCACGAAGCGCTCACCTCTGCAGTCGCATCAGAGAGTCATGCTCTTTCAACCTATAGCTTAGCGTCGCAAGAATAAGTAGTAAGATAGGCACTCATTTGGAACACGTATCGCGGGTCCAGAATTTTCAAGTCCGGGCAAGCGGCCATCTGAGCGCAACAAATGAAATAGGTGGAATAGGTACTCCATCAAGCACGTTTACCATCAAGGAACTCGTCACATGCTCTGTAAGAGCATAGAGAGGGTTGCGAGACAAGCGACTAGAAGATTCATAGATATCTGAATCACTCTAACACATGACCAAATTTGGAAGAGGCAGCAAGACTTTCCAAGAAAAGCATACGAAACCTCTTCGCGCCGCCTCGAGCTGCGCCGAGCGTCAGGTTCCAATGAAGTGACGAAGCTGTTGAGGCACTCAATGTAGTAGCACCAAACGACGGCGCTTTTGAAGCCTACCTTGCACCTCGGTGCATCCAGTATCCCCTTCGAATCGCTGGAATTCCGTGACCAGCTCTGACTTCTTCAGCTTGTGCTTCTCGATTGAAGAGCCATGGCCAGCATCGAAGTACTGCAACAGGGAGGCCGATTGGCAGATCAGGTTATATATATTCCTACACATTACGTCTGCACGACCAGCGACCGCCGTTCATATGAAGTCAAATGGACCCAAAAGTATGTCCTGTTGCGGGTCCATTCATCGACTTTATGTTGAGCCTGAAACCACATTGGCTACACTCCACAGAAGGCACAGAAGTGAGGGGTGCAATGCGCGACTTTGCAGATTTTCAAGAAAGGTGTACGGGGATCTTACTCTTCCCAAAAGAGCCTCGTTTGCAGCGTCCTGGCTAGCACCGAACACGTCATCGAAAGACAGCCTGGCACCTGCCGAAGAGTAGCAAAACTTGTGAGCAACAAAGTTTCTCTCACGCTCAGTACTCCGCACAGCATGACCTTATAAAGGGTTCGACGGAACGACAGCGGTGCAGCGGGGATTTGACCATCAGCCCTTGATCACCGACAAAACTCGGATGCCCTTGCTTGGTGCACCGCAAAAGTTGCAGCGTTCAACATCCAGCAGTTGTCCAGCACTTTGTGGTGCCAAGTGGTACATAACAGGCACGGTATGGCAGTGCCCATTGCACAGGATTGGATGCAGTGCTTGCTGCCCTACTCAAGGAAGGCAATCCCCTTTTCAAACCCTTTCTTGATTTTTTCTTCCCATTGTTCCTTCCTTTCTTTTCTGACTTGCAGAGAGCCAAATGTGACTAAGGGCTGATGCACAATAAGGGGGCCTCTTAGGGTTTCTAAGCCGACAGTGAGCAGAATGCAGGTGGAAAAACGGTCTAAAGGAAAAGGAGGGCCGGGGGAAGCGGGACCTGATGGTAATGGTGACAGGTACACTGCATTCTGCTTACTTGTCCAATCATCTAGAACTCAGGGATGGCCATTCTCAAGTTGACAAAGTGTTTAGAGTGGCTTCACCGATCTTCCAGATTGTCTGCTATTCCCACCACGAAGCTATATAAAACTCGACTGTGACAGCTTGAGATGCAACTGCTAGCTGAGTGACTGCACATGCCTTGTACCTAAGAAAGCATTTCAGGACTCCTGACAGAGAGCATCAGTTTTCTGTCCATCTGAAGATACCAGTACATCTCATATATGAGTGACACCAAACACTGATTGCGCTGCAAAAAGGGATGTGAGCAATCAATGTACCAGCAGATGCCACTGAGAGCGGCCCCATTACCAACTGCAGTACCAGTGCAACCGATGCTTACAACTCTCAAACCACTCACTTGCGTTCTGCCTGTCTCTGCTGAAGTCAGCAGGGGGCGCATTAATGGCCCGGATTGCCGGCGTAACTGCAGGTGCTACTCTGAGCGGGGACGCATTCAACCCCGTAGAGAAGCTGGCGCCCTTGAGGGCCACCTTTGTGAACGACGACCGAAGCAAAAGCGCCGCCGCCATGACGGACGGAGCCTCTTCCGCAGCACTGGAAAGGGCGCTGCCGGAAAGGGGCTGCAACACGCGTTTGAAAACCGTCCTCAGCAGGAATCCCATGCACCAAGGGAGGACATTCACCAAACCCTAAGCGCTGCTTCCTGCGTAACCCTCCCTTGCTGATTCCTGCACTTTCCAGGCGCCCTGGCAATTGTTCTCCGGCCCTGCTGCTTCTCTCTCTTCTGTGTCGCGGCTCGCCTTTGCAGAAAGAAAACCGGTTGACTTCTTGGTTAACTAATGTACAGTCTAACTTAACCCGTCGAAATTGTAGCAGTCCTTGTCGAACAAATATTCCCTTTTCAGGCCATACCGAGTCTTCGACACCCCGACTGGGTTGGCTGAGGGTTACCTTCAACTTCACGAAACCCCCTCATGGGTTTGCATTTCAACTTTAAGCAGACCCTGTTATTAGTATTACAGTAATATGTAAGTTGTCGTCCCTTTCGTCCTTTCTACCCAAATCCGTGGACAGCATTGTAGTTTGTGAGCTTTCGCCAACAGATTGATCAGTTTTGGAGGCGATTCTTCTTTGCACGGCATCATCAGCGGCCCGCAGAATTACTTTTACTGTACGAAGGAAGAGTGTTCATTGGCTGGGTCTGGCAAGCCCTCACCACCGTCGTTACCAGCGGCCAATCTACAAGAGAGAGTCCATCTTCCAACACAGTTTCATTGCAACACATCACGGTCTTTGGGCGTCGCTAGCTTTACAATGGCGGTAGGATCGTTGGTGGCCCAAAGGTGTGCGGGCACCCTTTGCGCCCCCTCGCAGTCCTTGCACTCAGCAGGCCTTCGGAGTTCTGCTGAGTGCGTTGCCCCAGCTCTGCGGTTGGCGGCGCTGAGGTCAGAGCGATGTCGGGGCCGCAAGAGCGTTGTTTCGATGGGGTTGACGAAGGACGGCCCTTCGGTTGCCATTGCTGGTGTAACAGGAGCGGTGGGACAGGAGTTTTTGCAAGTTCTCACAGACAGGAACTTTCCATACAGCAGCCTGAAGCTGTTGGCGAGCAAGCGGTCTGCTGGGAAGGAACAGGAGTTCGAGGTATGCAAGACGAGTTTTGTATCAGTTGGAAACTGTTTGAGGATGTTGATTGATCACTGATGTCTTGCAGTGACAAATTAGTGTCACAGAGTGACTTTGCTTACATTGCACTGATGAGCTCCTCATTTGCGGTCACTATCTGGTGATTTTCAACCGGTCGGTTTGGCCACCAAAGAGTTGGTTCAGTAGGCACAGATGTATTGGGGTGGTTTGATCCTGGCACCAATTCTTCGTCTCTGGGGTAGTGGTATGGCAAAAATTCAAACGGTGGCATGGCTATGAAAGATGTTTTGACAACAGACACAGTGGTGCTATTGACACCGAAAACTGAGCCCACACGTTTTCACAGGTTTGCTGCTATAATGTCACACATACTGCCACTCTCTAATAGTAGATTGTAGTCAATACCGTAAGTTCCCATATAGATGGGATCTTAGTGGAGGTCGAGCAATATGTTGTGTTGTAGAAGCCTCTCATAAAGTGTTCCTGTGGTGGCCTCGGAGCGTAAGAAATTCTCATGCTCCCCCCCTGTACTTGATTGTCATTCAGCATCCACTTACAAAGGTCAAGCATCATGCAATCTTAACATGTTGGAAGGATTTTTAAGGTTTTTTCCGCCCCCTGGCACCTGGTTCAGCTTCCTCATGTCTCTGCCTACAACTTGCGGTGGTGTATTGGTGACTGCAGGGTAAGAAGTACATCATCGAGGAGCTGACGGAAGAAAGCTTCAAGGGCATCGACATCGCGCTTTTCAGTGCTGGAGGCTCCATAAGGTAGGGTGATGGTACTTTCAACGATCGGAGGTATCAAAGTCTAGATCATGTGGACTCGGTGAATCTTTTAGACAGGAGGGAGAGGTTACGGAAACCTGATTACTGTCTCAATGTTCTGAACTGGACATGCGGAAGTTGTCCCTGATTTTACAAAGCTGCCGTCAGTCTTGCAATCTAGCAGGCAATTGCTTTACACTCAAGGATTGCATGTAGTATTCACCCCATCTTCTCCGGTTGCACGTGGCAGGTGCCTCTTTCCAATTAAGACTGCCTACAGTGCACCACAATCTACTACAGCGCTCATCCATGACGTTCGGAATCTCTCAAAAAGCTCTGACATTTCTCGAAGTTCCACCGCAGTATCTCAAGGAAAGTATTCTGCCTGCAGCAAGAAGTATGGCCCAGGGGCAGCTGACGGCGGCACTATCGTCGTCGACAACAGCTCAGCCTTCAGAATGGCTGAAGGTGTCCCTCTTGTGGTGCCCGAGGTTAGTTTCTATTTTTGGGTTAGGCGTCACCGAAACCAGTTTGTGCGGATCAGCGTTAGCTGCTGCCACTTCAGTTTCCAGCTTGCCTTGTATGGAAGCAGAAAGTTGCGAGCTGAGGGTGAAAAAGTACGATTCAGCTGAAGCATGTTCATTTGTTTTCAATCATCCTCTGAGTTCAGTCAAGTAGAGCACATCTCTGAATTCTGGTCAAACCTTTTGAAGACACAACGGGGAATGTTCAGAGGTTTGGGAAGTTACGGAAGAGTGGAAGCGTCAGTCGATTTTCGAGAGGGAGATATCGCTGCAAACCTCCCGCTGGAGTAATTGGGCCGGTTTTTCTCCGCAGACAGGCTGCAATCGGTCTGTCCGCACAGCACTCACTCTCAAGGCTCCGACGTCAAATGGAACCTCGTTGAATACAATCGGCGTGTGGCGATCTGCAGGTGAATGCTGACGCAGTCAAGGGCTGGAAGGCCGGGAGCGGGAAGGGAGGAATCATCGCAAACCCGAACTGCTCCACAATCATTATGCTCGTCCCAGTGACGCCTCTGCACAAGGCCGGCAAGGTGGGCCAGTAGCGCTCTGAGCACTCGTTCTGCGTCAAGGGACAAATCACTGAATCTTGGTGCTTCGAACGTTTGAACCTCAGAGGTTTGAAGGTTTGGAGTCGTAAGGCGAGGCGCGCCAAAGAGGGCTTCATAGGATGCATAAAGAATTTAGCGACGGCAAAGCTTGCCCCAAGGATTCTAGTCGTTAGAAAAGGATATACGTGTAGTTTTCGTGTCCGTTCGATTGCGAGAGGTGCTTCCCGTGGGCATAAGATGACGTCACGTGGCAGCCCTGTTCAAGCATTTCCTCCTCTCCGTCGACGGTACGAAGGTTTGAAGTATCCACGAACCAAGCATCTTCTCATGTACGCAGGGTGAAGCGTATATGGTGATCATGTCACAGGCGGCATAAATGGATGGCTCTTCAAAAGTCTCCGGTTGTGAGATTCAAAATTGGTCAACGCAAGCAGGTGATCCTTTGCTCAAGTGAAGCGCGCCACAGTAATTTTGTATCAGGTTCGATGGCGCTGTCCAGCTTCGAGATATGGAAATTGAGTTTGATCTTTCTCGTCCTTCAGGTGAAGCCCGTTGTAGTAAGTGCGTATCAGGCGGCAGGGTTTGTCTCCGGAGAGCAAGATTCAAAAACTCGAATTTATCTAAATCCTAAGCAGTGTGTGCTCCCCGCAGGTAAAGCACATACGCACCAAGCAAGGATTCAGAGCGTTTTTTCATTTGTGGTTCAGGAAGTGAAGCCGGGCATTGTTATGAAATGAATGTCAACCCAAGTTTACGTACGTGCTAATCAGATATCTCTTCTCACAGGTGAAGCGCATCGTAGTGAGCACGTATCAGGCGGCTAGCGGGGCGGGCGCGGCCGCGATGGCGGAGCTCGAGCTGCAGACGCGGGAGGTGCTGGATGGAAAGCCGCCCACAACCGAGATCTTCAGCCAACAGGTGCGTTTTTGAGAGTATTGTTTCACTCTCTCAAAGCCACAATCTGGTGTTGAGAGCCGAAGAGCCGAAAAACGCGCACCTTAATGTACCGTTGTTTCAATTAGTCCGAGCTCTAATTCGTTGTTCCAGGGCGAACAAGTTGTTATGCTGAAGATTGAAGCCCTGTGTTGGAAAGTGCAAGCTTGGAAGCGAGGTATTGAGGAACACACCTCTTGAAATTCTCCGAAACCTGCGTACTTGAAGGGGCCTTTGAAGCTCGACAGCTGTCCTCTCAAGCCCGCCCATCACCTAGAATGTTAGCTGGCGGCTGCGTTCCGAACAATCTGTGTATTCTGCACAGCAAGGGCTGCGTAAATTTGAAAGGCGTCGTTGCACGGTGCTTACGATTAACCATGGCGCAGTCTCGCCGGCAGAGATGTATTGCTGAATTATCGGCCGCAACGAGCCTCGATTCCGTTGATACATGTTAAGTGACCCAGGTCTTACCGGATTAGCAGAAAGCTCCTTAACCGCTGTAAAGCTGGAACGTCTACTTAAAAGTCAACCCGTCGATTCGCCACAAATGGAGTCCTCTAGCCGATCCGATCATGACGTACGAGTGACGGAAATCGGGCGCGAGGGGTTATGCCTGTGTACCCGCAGTGTCGTGAGGAGTAGCCGAAATCTTTGTCTCAGGAGTGGCCGGGATTTGCGGGAAAATGATGGAGACTCGACTTTCTGACGAGGTTATTTCGTGGTTTGCAGTACGCTTTTAACCTGTTTTCCCACAACGCCCCCATCACGGAGAACGGATACAACGAGGAGGAAATGAAGATGGTCAAGGAAACGCGCAAGATCTGGGTAAGCTCAGCCTTTGCTTGATCCGTCTCAGCCTGGGAATCGTACCGGGGAGGGTTGTCCTTGTGAGAGTACCTTTGCAGAGCTGTTCAGAACGAGGCTCATAACAGGGGTACGGGTCTTTCAGTCTCTCTGGGTGGTTTGGTAACCGTCAGTTCAGAAAAGTGTTTGTTGGTGTTGGTCAAAGGGAAGACGGGATGCGCCACTCCAGCCAAACAATGTCCGCTCATTCAAAGAAACTTCCTAAAGAATTGAAGTATCTTAACGTTGCCGAAATGTTAAGCCTCAACTACTGTGCTGCTACGCCCACGTTTCCAGGCAAGGCAACCTGAAAGCGCCCTTCTCATAGCGTATGCACACGTTCTGCTCATCTCGTATGCAGGGCGACAAGGACGTACAGGTGACTGCCACGTGTATCCGGGTCCCGATCATGCGGGCTCATGCGGAGAGCATCAATATCGAATTCGAGTCGCCCGTTTCGGAGGTAGGTTTTCTGTTCGAATTCTAACCTGAGCTTTAGTCTTCCGCCCGCGAATGTTGCGACTCCGCAGTGATGAAGTGCGACATTTGCTTTGGCGACGCTTAGCATTTGTGCGGAGGAAAGGGTTTCTCAACTTGAGACGAGGAGCAACGATAGATAGACTCTTGCTCACACGGTTGGTGCATATTTGCAGGAGCAAGCCAAGGAACTGTTGAGCAAGGCGCCGGGGGTCATGCTGATCGACGACCGGAGCGCAAACCGTTTCCCCACCCCTCTCGACGTGAGCTCAACTTTTACTAGCTACTCACCTCCACTTCCAAACTTGTACTTCTAAGTGACTATTCAAAGAGGGTGTCCTGTGCCCCGGAACGCCTTGGCGACCAGAAACCGTAGTTATGGGCAGACTGGTCGCTGAGGCGAAATGCCAAGATGCATTGTAGTCCGTTTGATCATGAAGTTTTCCCTCCGGACTCAAATGTCACTTGTGCGCTTCAAATCTGACGCCCTCTTTAGGCGGATTCGGGAAATGTGTCGGGATGTCTGCAATCGCGCCGCGGGAACTAGTATGCAGAGAATGGAAAAGTACGACCACCTTTTCAAAATTCTCAAGTCGGTCTATTCGATCGGTTGGGTATTGGCCAGTTTTCTGCTGACAATATGGATCTGGAAGTGGCCGCGCTCTCGGTTTTCCTTGAATCGTCGGATGCTGTGTGATCCGGAACAGAGAGGTTAATGACATTCCGCTGCAAAGATGCTGGCTGTGAGGAGGGGCGCAGCCTTCCATTCTGTTCATGGCAAAACAGCCTGCCGACGCAGCGCACGTACTTGGATAAGTCTGCCGACTTTAGAGCATGGGTTTTCGGCTTTTGCTAGCGCTTTCGAACTGGCCCACCGACTTGGAAGAACGTGCGAGGGTACTGTACGAACGCACTCAGTGCGGTCGGACGTTTTGCCTCGCTTCAGAACGCTCCTAAGTCGGTTTGTCTTTCCGCAGGTGTCATTCAAGGATGACGTGGCAGTCGGGCGCATTCGGAGAGACATCTCGAGGAGCGACGATCGGGGGTGAGCTCCACGCTTGGTTCCCGTTTGAATCGCTTTCTGCCTGCACACTGCTGTGGGCCGGACGCCCGAAATTCGCAACAGATTGCGTTGGATCGTACAATGTTTGGAACCGCAAAACGTGCACAAACTTGAGTGGATTGGCAGATTTTGAGCAGATTTCGATCAGACGACTGCATGAGCCCCTGTTAGAGCAGCTCTAATCTCTTCTGCTTCTTTCTCATCATCATGATGCATCGTTAGCATTCTCATGCCGCTTGCAAGTCTAGTTGTGGTCGTTATTTGCATGCCCCTTGTTATCGTGAGTGTGACTTGGAAGCTAAACAAACCGCTCGACGGATCGGATCTGCTTCTTGACTCCGTCCGGCAATGAGCGACAGAGCAGATGGTCCGCCATCACTGTTATCAAGCTTGAAGCACACCCAGTGACTTTTCTCTGAGAATATTGTGTTGCGACTCTGCAACAGGTTGGACCTCTTCGTATGTGGCGATCAGATTCGAAAAGGGGCTGCTCTTAACGCTGTCCAAATCGCCGAGCTGCTTTTGTAGAGGCCCTCTAGCGTTGCCGAAGTTTATCTGTTTCGCGACATGCAATGGGTAATCAAAGATTGGCCATGCTTGGGCCTGGTATGCGTATGGTTATTTGAGCTAGACTCGCTCTCGAGCTGTAGGGGAATTTGCACCGGTATGATAATCTGTTGAGAGGCCTCACCTTGACCTAGAGATCGGACGCAATCCAAGCATTGAGTTCTGATGAGGAAGAACGAGGATCGAGTTAGGGAGCCGAAGCATGCTAGTATAATGCTGGCCGGCGAAAAAGCAGGTTCATGGACCATGCATAGGGTCCAGCAAGCTGGCACCCTTACTTGATCACCAGACTTATACCCGGCACGAAAGTCTGGTTGATCTTTTTTCATACCGGTCATGCAGCTTGCCATGGCTCATGCAATATACATGCATGGGCTGTGGCATGGCATGAGACTACCTATATAACTTAGTATTAGTTGCGCGGCGGTGCTACTAGTGGCAACCGTCGAAGTTTCTAAAGATATAATGCGCCATGCGCACTGAGACTCGAAGTATGCAAGTGGGTCATGCATTACGTTGAAGCTAGCGCCCTCCTTATATATTCATCATGCCAGCCTTGCATGTATGCAGCCGCACATGACTCTCGATGCAGACGCGCGGCATGCCATGCGCTCAGCACAGGCCGCACTGAAGCTTGCAATGCGCTCTACAGGGCCCTATAGTTAGCCCGGCGGCTACTACTCATGCATGTTCAGGCACAGTGCACTGGATTCAATTTGAGTGTCCCTTACCTTCCAGGAGCACTGCCTAGAAAAGATACACATTGCTCGACAACGATGCCAACTACCACCTCATCAAATATAGTTCCTGTGTACATTAGGCCAGTCCTTTGATCGGGCTGCGAGGAAGATACTTTGCAGATGGAAGACCTCAACATGCACGAAGCACCTGTCAAGACCAGCACGGTCGGCAGACTCGAAATTTGATAAAAAGGATTACCAGAGGCTTGCTCCGGATTGATCCATCGAGTTTAACTCCATATTTTTAGGTAGTGTCTAAAGTATTGGATTAGCGGTTCCTGTCAGTGGCGGAAGTGCGACAACGTAGCAGTTGTGACCTACTCAGGTTGTCAAGCCAGCGTTTGAGCATGTTTCTACAGTCAGATCTACTTACATAAAATTCAGCACTGGAATGGATTACTGGCCTACTTGGAGGTCGCGAATGAAATCAAGCAGTTCTTCTCCAGCCCCCCGCTTTTGTCCGAACAAACACTCGAGGCTGATCGAATGGGAAGACGTCCCACCAATTGGGGTTTTCTACCAGAAATGCAAGCACCTTCCTTGTAGCGGGCAAGAATTCTGTACCCTCTGAAGTGGGCGACGTGGATGTTAGACACAGCAAGTCGCGATCATCCATTGCTTGCATTTGTCGGGCTATTGAGTCCATTCTCTCGTACTGACATGGACCCACGTGGAAAGAATCGGTTGCCGTTTGATACGGCACGGTCAAAACGCCTTGCCATCGTGGATCGGGACCGCACGCCATCATGCAAACGCCCCTGAAAAGAAGGTCAAGAAAGAGTCAAAGCGAGGCGACTCCTTCAAGAGAGGGCGACCAACTTGTGACGACACATCTTTATCAACTTCGGCGGCCTCGCTGGAATAGGGGTGACAGCGCCACCTGGCCACTTCGCGATATTCAAGTCAACCATTCTGCAGCTTACGGAGGACCTCAGTCGGATGAAGGACATGACTGGAGAAAGTGACCTTAGAGACACAACAAGATGACCAGAGGAAACGATAAAACGACCCGGAGGACAGCAGCGGCTTCCTCGAACCGCCACTCACCGCACAACCCCGTCCGGCCCGCGCGCGTTCACCGAGAACGTCGCCGGGAACGCGCGCCCGCTCTTCGGCTCGATCCCGAGCCCCCGCACGACCGGCATCGACAAATTGCCCACCTCCCGGTCCTTCCCCGTGTTGTGCCCCAGGATGCACGCGGTCTTCACCTCCAGGCACACGTTCGACCGGTGCAGCATCCCGACCAACGCCGCGGCCAGCGGCCACGACTGGCCCCCCATCACTGGCCCCACGGCGTCATCATACCGTTCCTCTTCTTCTTCCATCCCCCGCGCCTCGAGCTCCGACGAGCCCTCCTCGACGAGCCGCTTCCCGGGCTCTTGCGCCGGCCGCTTGCCCTTGCCCCCCGACGGCCGCTGCGCCTTCGCGGAGCTGTCGGACTCGCCGCCCCCACCGCCGCTGCCCTTGTCCTCCTCTTCGCGCGACCGTTTCCCCAGGGAGGGGCTCCGCCCCTCGTCGTCCGACCGGTAGTCGAACCGCGCCAACCGGTGCGCCTCCTCGGAAACTTCTCCACGCGGGGGGGCAACACTCCGCACACCGCCCTCACCCCCCCTGGACATCGTTGCAGGCCGCGGCTGCGCCTCACTCTCCGGCCCCTGAGGTTCTACCTCGCTTGCGCCCAACCCCCCCGGAACAGGCATTTCCGCCTTTCCCGTCCCTTGCGAGATCCCCGCCTCCCCTCCCCGCGTCAATGCGGCAGCTGCCGTCCCCGACGGTTCGCCCGGGGCACTCCCCCTGTCGGTCCAGTTCTCTTCCCCCGGGTTGTCTTGCAGGTCAAACGCCCCCCCGGTTGCGTCTTCATCGTCCCCCTCGTCGGAGTCGTCGTAACCCCCCACAAGGTGGAGTTCGAGCGGCCCGTTGACGGGTTCCATTGAAAGGAGCATGGCCGCTATGCCGGACTTGATGCAGTCCTCCCCATCGATGTGTGCAACAGAGGTCCTGCAGAGGGGTGGAATGTGAGAACGACGATCTGGAGGGGTTGGTGTTGGTGGTCTAATGGACGCCAATTGGGTCAGGCGTAACCGTGAGAGACGCACAATTCGAGGACGCGCGTCCTGGATGCCGCAGCGTCACTAGTATAGGAACGGTAGTAGTCAACTGCCGAAGTCAAACAAGCACTATGATTGTGATTGCAGAATGGTCTTTCTGCAATCACTGAAGCGCGCCAGCTGCAAGGACGGAAGCTCAATGGACGCAACGGTCTTTCCTCAAATAGCACGATAAGGACACCTGTCGGCAAGTTTTACGGCAAGAGTTTTGTCTCTGGCTTTTGCAAGCGTTCACGCGAGTCTGTTTACTCCAAATGTCTGATCAGCAGCAACACACAGCACGCTGCCAATTTCCGTAGAGCCCCCCCCAACCTGGTTGCGGCATGATAACAAGACTTGCCTGCCAGTCTCGGGATCTCTCAGCGCCACAGCTATGCACGTCGTCATCTCATCGGTCCCGACGACATCCACGAACGCCGGCAGCACCGTCGCTCGCTCGCGCTGGAACACGTAGACGGTTCGCCTGCTGGCGGAGCCGTCGATGGTGCTATGCATCTCGGAGGTGCTCTGATTCTCGCTCCCTGTAAAGTGGCCCACAATTTTGGTTGAAAAGAAGAGCTTTCTGGGCGTCTGCTTTGAAACCAGAAATTCAGAAACGAGGAGGTGCTCTGGTTCTCGCTCCCTGTAGAGTGGCCAACAAGTTTTGGTTGAGAAGAACTTTCTGGGCGTCTGCTTTGAAACCAGAAATGCAGAAAGGAGCAACAACGTGATCCTCAATTGGTGCATAGGAGTGAGGTATATTACGGGGGCGAAACCAAGTCTGCCTTCAATGGGGTTCGCTTGCCTGCTTGTGCCTCAACATGGCAAGCTCAACAACCAAGTAACTTGACAAGTCTGACATGGCAAGAGCCAATTGCATCGCATACGCAGACCAAATTGGCTGCCAGTAAGACTCTATTGCCTAGGACATGCCAGCACTTTATAGCATTGCAATACAGGGCGGCCAAGAAAGAACCGAGACGCCATACTCAGCCCCCTCCTTTTCAATATCCCCCTTCCACTTGGTAACGTCCGTTCTAAAATCGCCCCTTGAAAACTGAAATCACGAACGAACGCCATACCCGATCGAGGTTGGCCGGAGTCGCCCCGCGGCTCTTGTTGCTCGGACGCTCCTTTTCCCGATCCGCTCGGCTCTGCTGCCGCAGGCCCCGCATCGCTCCTTCGCTCCGCAGCTGACTGTTCAGAAGGACCTCTTGTGCTTGGACCACTTTCAGGACCAGAGCCCTTTGACTGCAAAGGAACCAATCGAATGCATTGTAAGTTGTTCTCCTTCTGCTTTGGCTTTTTTTTGTACAGTCTTACCGAACCGGCGGTCCCGATCCTGAGTTGCTTGCCTCATTGTCAATCAGCTGAACCAAGTTGGACATACGTGCAGGACATGCTCCGTAAAAGCTCATGTCAAACTACCTGACTTCTGGTAGAGCATGCGATCAAAGCAGTCAGCATTCGCTGACTGACGCAACAGTCTGCAACGTGGCCAAGACACACCACGGCGCATTGCCTGCGGATGGGGACTCTACGTCATTCACAGAATTGATGCTGCATTTTGCATATCGTTTGTATGGAAAGGTGCCTGACACCAGACTTTTGGGCCTGCCTGGAGCACCTTTAGCCACGAGCGCATTCAGTGATTACGCAATCATAATGAAGCCAACTCCCGCTATCACCAAACCTTGAGCAAACGGAATCTGCCGGTTAGGCTTGGAATCATAAGCATGCTTCTGTTTTGTAAGGTCCCACATAAGTCCCTCTAGTAGATTCCTAACGCACGTTGTAGAAGGTGTGGTGGCACCTCTGCAACCCGCTCGAGAATCGGGTCCACTTACCTGGTCACCTTCACTGGACTTTGGACCAGGTTCTGCAGGGATGGACCCTTCTGTCCACGTGCCAGCAGGCGTCGACGGTGTATGGCCCCCTTCTTTTTGGTGCACTGTTTGGTCGTGGACAGACCTTGGGCTGGGAGGAGTCCTCCGATCCTCTGGGGCGTCAATCAACTCCGGCTTCTGCTGCCGGAAAGCCGCTGCGCTTGCAACTATCTTCGGATGGCGCAAGAGGGTCAGCAACAGGTCCCAGCCCTAGAGAAGCGACGTTCGAGTCAGCATTGAAGAAGGTGTCAAAGATATTACGGCATTTTTTTACTGGGGTCATTGCAACTTGCTGACTGGAGTGCTTTGCAAGGTTCAGCTCACAAGAGTCCTCACAGCGTCAATGTTACTAAAAGCTGCAGCATGACCACTCAATTGATATGGCCACCTTTCATGTGCCGGGATTAACAATCTCATCCGTTCCACCATGCCTCTAAGTTTGTGGAAGTGCTGGCGCGCAGTGCGGATGCTGCTAACTGTAACCATTGCTCCAGAATAAAGCTGCTCAAGGCTTCAATGGAAGTCAAAGGTACTCGACAAATTGGACGCGAGAATCTGCTCAAAATACACAACTTTAAAACACGGCAGCCTTTGATCACAACGTCCATATAGAAGAGCAATGCCCCAGAGAACTTCTGCAATGGAGGATGGATTCCCAGGCTAAAGATAGAAAGCAGCCTAAAGATAGAAAGGAAGGATTCGATCTCAATCAAAGGATGTCAGTTCCTGATGATGGAAGCTCCCTCTCAAAAGCAACTTGGGATTGATCGAGTGTGGTTACGTAGCGACCACGGCACTCGTCTGATGAGCTCAACTGTGGCCGACCTCTCTAAATGGGAGAATACAACGTCATAGTCTGAAAGTATGGCAATGCCAATGCTAGATCCTCATAGGTTAGGGTTCTGCTTGCAGGGAGGATTGATGTACTTGGCACCACGCCAATGAGGAGGATCCAGGCCAGGTCACTACAATGTGCTTGCACTGCCAATCGGTGACCACTCAGCCCCAAGAGCAAGAACCATGAGCTGATATCTTCAATTTGAGATAAACGATCCTGATACCTTCTAGGAGCTCATTCTGCGTTGCAAGGAGTGCAGATGACCGAAACTGGGAAGACAATTGCCAACAGATTGACCACTGCTGCAGAAAAACAACCTGGAGTCCAAAAGGACTACTAGAAGTACGCAAGCCAAATTTGTCAAAGGCAGCAGCTCAATGTCAGCAGCTCACTGTCAGCCTGTGCTGACTTCACTACTCCAGAATGTTTCACTTTCATGTCTGCAACCTGCTGCTGATAACATACTAACATAAGAAACAGCGTGTAAGGTTGACGACCACATGCAATGCTGAAGAACTCATACCGGAAAAAGGTGAGAGAAGCAACTTGTCCTGCACAGAAGTGGGCTTTGGGAGATAGGACAAATGAACATTCTTTCTAAACTCATCAAGGTCAATGCAGAGGTTTGGAAAAATGCATACTAAGCTCAAGTACACGACGCATCAAGCTGTGCCAAGCGTGCTCCCAATGAGTGTCCACTGCTGTTGCAATAGCAGGAACTGACTTAACCACTGCAACTTCTCAACTTGGGCATGATAATCTACGGTTTCACATTGTATCACCAGGATTGAGAAGAAAGAGACCAAAGGCACTACTGGTAGCACACAAAAAAAAGCATGCTTCCGATATAACAAGTGCCGGCTACTTCCCAGGCCAACAATGACAAAACTTTGACAGAAAGCGGGAAAGCAAATACAAGTATTTATATCCAGAATCTGAGCGTTAAAGCATTGCCACGAGCAAGGTATGCATGCAACTGATGCTTACCTCATTGCCATCCCGCGATGTCGCAATATCACCCAAAGGGATCCCATCAACCAGCAACATGCTTTGTTGCTTTTTTAATCCAATGACCTCACACTCTTTTCTGAGCTCTTGCTTGATTACCACAGCCCTGTCCAGGAGAACAGTTGCTCTTCCTGAGCTCTGTGCTCCGCATGATCTAGAGGTTTCCAGGAACACCCGCCGTTAGTAAAGAAACATCCTTAGCCTCTTAGCGTCCTGTCCACTTTGACCATCAACCACGGCATGTGACATCTAGAAAAGCCTCCTTCAGTGGCCCTGCAAGCGCCATCTCGTTCATTGATCTGCACCGCCTCAACTACGAACTAGGACTACCTACCAATCCTACCAACTGCCCAGCACGGATTGCCAATGCAAGCAGGAAACAACGCCACAAATGTTCCTTGTTGTCTGCTTTTCCTTTGGTTTTCCTTCGGTTTCGCAACGAAGTCTTCGATTATGACGGTTCGCCCGTCTTTGAATTACCGTGCTCTTGACCGTGGATCCAGATTAGTTGCATCGGACGGCACACCAGGCTTTTAACCTTTTGCACAAATCGACGTCTATCCAGAAGTGCAAAAAAACGCTCCTGCATCGCAGATGCTGACACATGTCAGAGTCAGAAATGTTGCCGTACGTGTCAGAAGAACACAATGTTATTGCCTGTACTTCGTCCGATTGGATCCCAAGCCACTGTAGCCGTCGATTCTGGGTAAGCACGGAAAACCACAATTGTGGAGACGAACTGCACGCAGAACGCCATTGTGGAGGGTGCGCTCGATGCAAGGGACTGCATGCAAGGGACTCGGCCGGCTGGAGCGGAGGAGTGGATAATGCGGAATTTGTCAATAACGTCGTATCGAAATCGAAGGGTTGGCTGTCTGCATTACAAATGCCGTGAGGCGTGTGTAGCCGGGCTGGGGTTGGTTGTTTGCTATGACGGGGTAAAACACTTTGGAGTTTGCCAGTCGACAACCAATCAGATTCGTTAACGAGTTCCAAATGAGCATGCATTGGTCAAGAAATGCTCCCTTTTCCCGCTATACGGGTCGGTTCGTCAGACTGTTTACATGCTATGACAGTAACACCAAAACCTCCCTTAAAATCTAGAAGACTTTTGTAAAATCTATCGGGTATTCTTCTATTATTTAGGGGCTCGTCGCATGCGACCGCTACATTTCTGTTTCCGCGAGAATGTGGCGGTTCCAAGACCAAACCATCGCCGCATGCCACCGCCACACGGACAAAATTTTAGAAAGTACAGTTCGATCGCGCGATCGGACCATCAAAACCGCCACAATCTGGATCGCGTTTTCGTACCCCTGCCAGATTCTGGCGGTTCCGACACTCCGAACCGGGGACTTTTATGGTCTGAATCTGCAGACTGCAATTGCCCGGTACTGAATCGGTAATTATCCATCTTTTCTTTGCAATTAAAATGTATTTTTTGGAATTGGATCCGGAGAGTGACCGCCAGACTATCGAACGCGCCGTCGAAAACTGTACCTTGTTAACAATTTGTCCGTACCGCATTCGTACATCCTGACCCGAAGTCAACCCGCCACATTCTGGCGGAAATGTAATTGTAGCGGTCGCATGCGACGAGCCCCTTAGGAATTTCAGAATGCTGAATCTGGATCCACCATGCACTGTGCAGGCTGAGGAACTCCCGATGAGTGTTCCGAACATCTCGGCGCCCTCAAAGCTTCTGCCTACCGGTCACATTGCTCATGCGAATGCGATGTGCGCCAGTCCATTCAAGGCATGGACGCGAGAGAAGAACTTTGATGAGGTTGCTACAGCTGCACAGCAGCAGATCAATGTGGCTTTTGAGCAAGTTGTGACTTGCTCTGTAGTGTAGCTGATCAATGTGGCTTGTGAATCGAGAGTCCTCCTGAGTTCTGCGCGCCTTTCCTGCCCGGGCTGCTCCCAACGAAGTCAAAACACTTCGTATCGATGTCCTCCATATGAGCTGGACCTCAGCAGTGTTTTCGAAGGGGGGGGTTGCAGAGCAGGTCCATCCGAGTGGCATACCTGAGTGTGTGACCACTCTAGAGCCGATTGCTTGTTGAAAACTTTTTGTAAAGGGATTGTATGGAGCTGGCACCGCAGGTATATGGCATTTGTAAAGTGGTGAGCTACGCATTGTCCTTCGGAATCTTGTGCAGAAGCTAAGTGCGACTCATGGTAGAATCGTCACGTCACGAGGCTGCATAGTGATCTGCTTCCTACATCGACAGGCATCATCCTTACTGGCACTTCCATTCAAGACGTGCGCCCGAGACATACACATTCATTGCCATTAGCAATCTCGTAACAAAGCTTTGCTCGCCAATCAACTGAATTTGTAGCTCATAGACCTGCATTGCATCTTGGCATCATTAGAGGTCCCCGCATCAATAGACATAGTCGAAGAGTTCACCCCTGGTTGCTGGCTCTGCAACCTGAAGGGGCGCATATTAAGGATATCGTGGAACTCACGACCGCCTCAAGACTTGATAGAGTGGAGCATTGCAGCAGAGGCCTTACAAGTCTGGTAAGAACCAAAACTCCCTTGCCGTCTATTTCCCCCAAGTTCAGAGCAGTGGGCATCGGGTTGCAGGCATCGTTGTCGTCAGCGCCTGCGGGGACAGAATCTGCTTCCAGTAGCAGTTTCAGGAACTCTACAAATGCCAAGGAGATACATTGCACTCTTCAATGGCTGCTGCTTTTTCTGATAAGATTACCGCATTCATTGTCTGATCAAGTTGTGCTTTGATGGTATGCTGAATTTGAACCATTAGGTTATTATTCAAGATGTGTATTGATGGTATGCATAGCAATGAAAGAGCCTTCTATCTGCAAGCCAGACACGTGTGGAATCTGCATTGCTCCTTGGCCTTCCTAGGCGAACGTGTTTTTCGTTTTGAGGAGCGTTCTGGTTTGCAAAACAAACAATAATCTGGATTTTTACATCCAAAAGTAGCCAACTTTGGTATGCGGTGTCATGCTTGAACCATTTGGCGCACGGGTGTCACTGCAGTGGCTTTGTGTAGTTGATGGTCAACCTAATGCCTTGTACATGTGCTGTTCCCAAAACTTGCCCCACAGTGGATGCACTCTATTCCACATTGGTCTCAGTCATGGTTCTGCTCTCACTTGACAAGCCCTCAAGGCCCGCTCAAGTGTACAGCCGTCCTGAATGGTCACAACTAATTGCGAAATCATTCGGCACCTGGAATGTTTGATGAGTCAGTATTTGTAGTTCTGTATTCAAGTCTGGTACAAAATTACCAGAGAAAGGATTGTCTGACTAGATTTACAATCACGGGAAGCCTTTGCACCTCTGCACCCTGCACTGAGCCACCCTACTTTGGGTACTCATGTGCCCTTCGTCGCTTTGAGTTCAGGGTGAAGCTGTGTGCTTCAATGCAACAATTGCATACTGGCGTAACCAGACATCTTTGCTGCCGTTCATAAGCTTTTGAAAGTGTACTCTGCATTGAGACAGGTCCACTAGTAACCAGGCTCCTTGGCGGTGGTTCTGAGGGCCTGCAATTCTCTGCAACTTCTACCTCAGGAGAAAGTTAGAGGCAGCTCCTGAACAAGATAAATAGAGCAGCTGCTTTCACTTGACCTGCTATGGATGGAGTGCATCTTCACCACTTGCTTTGTGCTCTTATACTCCAAACCTCTAAAGCGATTGGTGATACTCTCTGCACTTGAGGTTTCTTGCATTTTGATCAGCAGAGTTGGTATGCCTAGCTTGGCATCTGGGTGACAGACACCAGGTCCAAAAACCCATCTCTTGGCCAAGGGGAAACCTCTAGCAGTCTGTTTTCGTATGTGAGATTGTGCCAAGGGTCAGTTCCAGGGGGCATGCTTAATACTCTACTATCTGAGACCCGGCAGAACTTCTCTGTTCTATTGTATCCATGACCCAAGGTCCCACAGCCCCTTCATGCCATTGTACATTGGTCATGCTGCCAACAGAAGTTCTTCCACCTTTGCTCACCAATTCAACATGAGCAAGGGCGAAACAAACGTGTTGCTGAGTCCAAATTTCATGCAGCCAACAGGCCCCTCGCACTGCATTGCTATTCCTCTCTACTGGTTGCGGATAATTTCACGCCCTTTCGTTGCAGGTCAATTGCCCTGCAAGGCGGTATATCGTGAAATGCACACCAATCGCAGCAGACAATTGTCATTTGTTAATCCCACGAGTGTCAACCTGACGCGCATCTTCCTTGCAGGGTGGCAGATGGCGGACATGCAGGAGGCCACACGCAATGTCTATCAGCGTGTGCGGAACTTGGATGCCGCAAATGCATCCAAGCTAGTGGGGTGGCTGCTGATGCAGGACCATGCGGACGAGGAGATGCACCGGCTAGCAATGGGCTCAGATGCGGTCCTGATGTCGATTCTCTCGAAAGCTAGGTGGGGTTTGTGCTCTGGCTCCCGTTAGTTTTGGCTCATTGCATCCACTGGTATCTGGGAATGCTTCACATTTTCAGATGTGACAAAGAGTGGAGATTGGGACACATGTTTGGATTACCTGCCTGGAGGTGACTGGACGTTACGTTCGTCAAGCCACTAATGTGTCCCTTTCATCAAATGTGTTTCTTTCATCTGTCAACATCAAGCTGGTGCTTGGCAAAGTCCAAAGAGGCCTGTGTGCCACACATCAGTGGCTCTTGTTTGCATTCCAACTGGTTCAAATGGTCACATAAGCAGAATTTTACAGTTGCTCATTGAATATTATGATGATTCCGTGGTTCCTGACTTCTAACCTTCACAAACAAGCTTCTCCTGGCACTGCCCCTTCCCAAAATGAGTCCGCCTGCTGTCATTTCAATGCCAACTCTAGTTGTTTTCTGACGTCCTTTCTTGGGGCTCCGATTGACGCTGACCTCGTGAAGATAGAGCCAACTTCTGTCCCCTTGTTCTTGAGCTCCTCTTGCCATTCAGATCCATCTGCTGTTATTTTTCCTCTTGTCCTCTCCCTCACTTCTTATTCCATTCATAAGCCTCCTTCCAATTCCTCATCCTGACCCAAGCACCTTTCCCACTGCAGAAAAGAGCTCGGCCTGACCCCCCAAATCAGCCCCCACCAGCTGCAATCCGGTCTTGACGCCTTCTTCTCCCAAGGTCTCAGCGGCCTCAGCCTGGACCCTTATTCCAACGGCCTCCGCAGTCCTGCCCAGTCCCCAAAGCCCTTTCAAAACGGCTACTTCCACAGCCAGAACAGCCTCCCCCCTGAGAGAAACTTCTTCCCGCACGACGAGCTGAACCACCGGCTGGCTGCCAGGCTCGGCAGCGGCAGCTTCCCCAAGGGGGGGGGGTCTTACGAGCTCAGCCGGAGCCTCGACACTGGGGGGTTGACCATCCCCAGTCTCGACATGACGTACTCGAACGGGGGCCATGGGTGGAAACCGTGCATGTATTATGCGCGAGGGTTCTGCAAGCACGGCGCGAGCTGCAAGTTTCTGCACTCCCCCGGATCCAGCCCCAGTCCACGAATGGGGGGGTTGGACCAGTATGACCAGGATGGGTTCTCTCTAGAAGATGGGACCCCCCTGGAGCATTTGGAACTCGAGTTGAGGGCGTTGTTGACGGGGAGACCCCCCGTCAGCATGGCGTTGCTGCCACAGTTATATGCGGAGCGGTTTGGGAAGGTGTTACGGGCGAAGGGGTACGGGAAGGCGGGGCTCTCGCTGACGCTGCTCCTGGAGAAGATTGGTGGGATCATCTTCCTAGAAAGGTAAGTCGACTTTCCTCTTTTGCGTTTTCGTTTGTCTGCCTCTACTAAAACATGCCTGTTAGACCTCCTCCTGTTCTCCGAGTCTGCCTCTTTATCTTCTCTTATCTGATTATTCTCGTTTTCTCGACTCTCTGATCTCCGGCCTTTGTAAGTGAAGCAGGAAACGAAGATTGGTAACAGCGGGCCTGAAGGTCTGAAAGGACTCCGTAAGTCACAATAAGTGCCTAGAGCATGGCGTGAGTCGATATCTGCCACACAGAAGCTCAAAAACCATTAGAAAAGCAGAGGTATAAGCGGACCAAGCGTGAGTGTCGAATCTGAAAGACGGTGCACCCAGATGCTTCGTCCAAGGGATACTGATATGTCAGCAATGAGCGGACCTCCGCTCAATTCCACCAGACCAACCCGTCCTCACTTCGAGCACACATCCTCTTCAGACAGATTCATCCTTATTTTGAGCACAGCCTTTAAGCAACCTGAATCCAACTTCCAACACATGCTTCACCGCTTGCAGGCCGGACGGATTCAAAGTGGTCTGCCTCGCAGAGGACGCCGGCCGGTACAGCATTAAGAACGGAATCGACCCGGAAGCCGAACGGAGCAACCGCCAGATTTACCTCACCTTTCCCGCCACCAGCGTGTTTGGAGAGCAGGACGTTCGGGACTACTTCAGGTGAACTTACTGACAAGCAAATGCTATTTTACTGCCTGATGACGTGAAAATCTGTGGATGGTTGTGGGCGCCATTCGAGAACTAGAACCAGATGTTTGTCCCAGGTTGAGACGCTTTAAGTCCCCTTTGAACTTGACATCCGCTTCGTATGTCGGGCTCTTCTTTTCCCAATCCCGGAGAGGGTTCAGCCGTTGCTGATCCACTGAAAAGTCCACTGGAAAGGTCCCTTGTAGTCAGCAAAAATCAGAACAGCATGCTTTTTGTGCTATCTACCACAAATCTTTCGCCTAACCCATGACTTTGATAAATCCAACGTCACGACTTACCTGGCCATCTTGACGTGCTTATCAACCTCGGCATCTACGTTGATAATCATCAAAACCCCTGCAAAACGACTCTCCCAAACGGAGCACCAGAAACTCAAACCCCCCCCAAAGCAACATCTCCCCACCTTGCTGACGATTGCTATCTTTGTTGACGCAGCCGCTTCGGCAAAGTGGAGGACGTTCGGATCCCGTACCAGCAGCAGCGCATGTTTGGCTTCGTGACCTTCTCCGGCCCCGACGCTGCACGGGCCGCCCTCGCCGCAGAGAACCCCCACCAGATTCTCGAAGCGTTCGTCCTCGTGAAGCCGTACAAGTTCAAGGGGAAGGCAGCGGAGCAGTGAGTTGCTGCTCTCGTTTGCTGACTCTAAAGTCACGGCGCTGATATCTGAAAAGAATGCCCTTCGAAACCGAAACTCCGTCTGTTCCTTCGGTATTAGTGCAAGTTCACTGAACCCAAAGCTGGCTGGTGCCCCTAAGCCGCAGAGTGCCACTGTATGCTGGCAATTCGTTGCTCCTTTGCATAATCAAGCTTTCGAGACTTCGTTAGTCTGAGCGCTTGTTCTTTGTTAAACCGCTTGTTCCGCTCTTCAAGACCTTTCGGATCCAGTCCCATCAGTGCTCGAACGCTCAACGTTTCAACTGCCTTCCTTCCACCTTAAACCTGAATCTTCTCCCCATCTCCGCATCTGCATGCTTCAATTATCTTCTCCCCATCTCCTCCAATCTGTTCCGTTGGTAATGGCGTTTCCCGGTTCCGTTCTCAACTCTACACCGTTCTCGTTGCCAGCCACCGGAAGATGCTCTCCCCCAAGGAAAACTACCACGTGCCGCCCAGAATCCAGCGGCAGCGCTTCCCCAACGGGCCGCAAGAGAACCTGATCAGCCCAGGTGAGGGGATTTAGCTCCTCCTCTCGCAAGCAAGGTTCTCGCATCGGGATTCGTTCATCCTTCAACCAATGCTCGATTTGCGCGGACCTGAAAGGTTATCATCGAGCGCTCGGCCCCTCCTTCCAAAGGAGACCTCACATACACGTCTGAAACTTGCAATGACGAAACGTTCAGAGGACGCTTTTCGCATCTCCTTTCAACGACGAAACGTCCACCCCGTTGCTTCCGCGTAAAATCGCACCCATCGCATGATGCAATTTTCCGGGCATTGTTTCACAGGCTCTGGTTCGGGCTCCGACTCGCCCTCCAGCCTGAACTACCACAGCTACGAGACGGACGAGGCCCTCAACCGGCGGCTACAGGAGGAAGAAGCGGAGCGCGAGAACGAGCGCCGCCGGGCTGCCGCGCTCGCGATCGGGGACGCGCAGCGGAGGCGGCTTGAGGCCGAGGCCAGCATGCACCGGGCGGAGTCGCTGCAGAACCGGAGGCTAGGTAAGTATTGGGGTTACCCAATCTGGAAGTATCGTATTGCTCTAAGAGCTCGGCGAGATTTCCCAGTTCGCACTAGATTTCCCATTTCCTTGGCCTGACGTATACGACCATATACGTTGACAAGAAAGAATTCGATAGTACCTAGTAGCAAAGAGAGATATTCTGGTTAATCAGGAGTAAGGATTAAATGAGTTGCTCCGTACCCGAACCCACCTTGACCCCACCCGTGCTCGTGGAACTCCTCAGTACTACTAGGACTCAGTACTAATAACCTTTTACTTTCAATACTGATTGTAGAAAAACCAGCGTATCTTAAATCTCCTATGAATTGACCCTGCAGAGGGCAGCGAATTTCAGCTGGAGCTGAACACGTTTCAGTCGGACAACCCGTTCGGATACCTGCTGAACGATAACGAGACCGAGTCGGAGGACAGCGACAAGCGGAGCCATGGCGAAAACCACCAGAGGTAAGAATGATTTGGGAAGTATCTCTTGTCTCTTTTCGCGTAATGCCCGGAGACCGGTCAATGTAAGCGAAGAACGAAGGGAGAAGGAAACGGAAAGGAAGCAGAATTAAAAGGAAGCTCCATTCTGGAATCTTGAATTGAGGAATCAGAGGATTTTGGCACACTTCTGCATCGAGCAGAGTTCCGAGCTTTGAAACGTGACTCTTGTACCCAACCTGTGGGTTTCTAATCTCTTCGACTGCCGTCTCTCGATGTTTGAGTACGTTTCAACGACAGTCCGGATTCGTTGAGTCTCAGCCGCAATGGCATCGACTCAAATTTTTATCTATCTCGTAACGGCTTAGCTAAGACTCCAAGCTCCGAGAATCTCAAACGGCGAACCCACAATCGAGCCGTTGATTGTCAAAATCGATGGTTGCGCGTTAATCCCCCGAAAAGCGTACAACTAGGCAAAAGAGTCTGCATGACAAAAACAACGTGTTGGTTCTAGATGAAGTTTCCAGGGATCCCCTCTTTACCCGGCGCGCTTTTCTCGTGCAGCCACGGCCTGTGGCCCGAGCTCGAGGAGGGCCTCGGGGGATCCCCCGGGCACAAGTGGGACATCCCGCGGAAGAACGGCCTCAACGGAAGCCTCAACGGCGTCAACGTGGCGCGCTCGGGGTCGCCCCTCCAAAACGGGTCCTCCCTGTCCGGGATGACGGACCATGACCTCACCTGCTGCATCTGCTTAGGTAAGCGAGCGGGCGGGAAGGTGGTTGTGTGTCATCGGCGCCTGGTTACGAATACTTCGTAGTTGGTCGCTAGGGTTCATTGAAAGCGCTTGTCAAGGAAAGCTACTGTTCGAGCGTGCATGATCAGCGCCTATGTCTGTCGGCTGGATTCGTTGCTTTGGCGAGCGTGTTTACTGCTTTGAAGGACCAGTGTTCATTGACTAATTCAGACATGGCGGGCCCCTTTGGAAGCGTCGCTGATCAGCCGTTTGACTTTTGAATTGTCGTATATCCGCTCCAAAGTCTTGGTAACGTCGCCTAGACTGTCAATGTGGGCTATTACGAAAGGCTGCGATGAACCATTTCCTCGGATTTCTGACTGGCGGCGTCATGTTAAACTAGTTTGCGACATGCGAACAACGTGAGTCGGCTAATCAGCCGTCCTTTTACCTTGCCTGCAGAGTACTACGAGGAGCCCATCGGCCTGGATTGCTCGCACACGTTCTGCGTGAAGTGCATTTCTCAGGTGAGTTTGGTTGCTGACGTTTCAGGAGGGAGCGCACAGTCGATGTCTAAGGCCCCCTCCCTGTTGTGGTCAGTCATGGTACGGGGGTTGCTTTCAATATTGTCAGTGCCCAGGTCTGTGTTCGCACGGAATATTGTTGAACCCTGCGCTGATGTGCACGGAGCAGCACGCAAGCTGTTTAGCTCCTATTAAGGAGCTGTTTAAGCGGGTTGATTTGACCCATCTGATCGAACATTTTGTTATTAACCTATCTAAACCAACCCTCCGCCCACGTACAATACTCCCAGCTTGTTAACTTTCACAAACGCCTACGCCCTACCTTTCTTTATGTTCCGGCCTTTGTTTCTCAGTAAGTGTCGGTGCCTTGAAGCCAAATGTTTAATCAAGCCCGAGTCTTTGCGGCAGGCAGAGCATAGAATGCCCTCTGACGCTGCTTGTTACTTAACTGTTAGTTAATTGTTAGCTGATTGTTACCTCGTAGTCCCTAAAACTTGCAAGGGGGCTCCTAAAGGTTAAGAATCAGCTGCTTCACTCAGAGGAGCAAGAAAAAATGTCTCCTTAATTCTCCCTCCAGGTGATCAAAGCTACCCGCGATGAGTGCCCCATGTGCCGTCAAAAGCTGAGCCCGGCCATTCTCCGGTTCCTCGAGACGCGCGACCCTCACTGGACTGCGCCCCACGCACACCTGAAGAGCATGTTCCGCTACCAGGGCCAGGTCGTGCAGCAACCGGGGCTACCAGTTTGGTGATTGCATAACACGAGGCAGTAATTACAATTGAAAGGTTGTTGTTTGGAGTTGAAAAGGGGGGCGGGTGATCGTGGGTTACAAGCCCACCGGTGGTATTGAAGGGGGTTTGTTGGGTTGGCGCAGTCCCACATTTGAGGTGCGATTTGTCTGTGGTGGTTTTTGTTGAGCCGCGACACTTATTTCTCAGGTGAAAGCCTCCAAAATAGGAATACAGGTGACAGTCGAAGTTGTGACATACGATTGTATTTAGCCAAGATACCAGACTCTGACGAGAAAGCGCTTAGATCTGACCGAAAACAACACGAACCGACTCGCGCGAAATTGGATTGCGAGGTCCCCTGTTTTCTGGGGAAGTAGGTGCAGTGGGACGTTTGGCACCTTGGCATTGACGTGGCGAACCGGATCTAAGCAGAATACGGGTACAATGACTAGACAGAAACCATTAAAGAAAGGGCAGCTCTTGCGCTCGGGCTAGTCCCGAGCTCTGAGTGATGCTACCATTATTTCAATAGTATTCAATAGGCACTAGGACGCTTAGGCTAGAACAGTCGAGTGGATCTTCGAATAATCCGTTCAAGTAGGAGAAACCAATTCGCTGTAGCAGCTACAAAGGTCGTGGCAAAGCAGCGGAGCGGTTGATTTGCGTGTTGTTAGCATATGCTTCTGCGAACATTTCTGTAGAAGCGAGATTTTGATGTCGACGGTTGGTGACAAGCTAAGGAGATCTAGTTACAGTGAGCAGCAAACTTAAGTACAGCGCAATGGCAGTGCAGAGTTATTTCAAACTTTGTTTGCAGCATATGATAATCTTGAGAAAGTTTTGTTGTCAACGTAGGCACCTCTAATCAAACACACCCCGACTTTGTCTTTTAGAGTGAACCTGTCTCCCCTCGTTTCTCGTATAACATGGCCGCCGATGTAGTCCTTGGCAGGTTTCAATCCAAGAGTGTGCCTTCAGAGCAGCGGGCGCAACTGCAGACCGCCATGCAAGCCAGCGCACTCAAGCGGCACCATCTCGCACGACGTTGCTGCTACTAGCTAGAGGTGCGATTGGTGAGTCCTGATGTGAACCCGAATTTAAGACCTGCATGTATGTGACAGTGGTGGCGACTTAAACTGGTCACAATCTGAAGCAGTGTCAGCCGCCGCACCTTATGTCAACTAACTTGAAGTGGCTGACAACAGTCTGCACATGCGGTGTGGCAAATGATTTGGAATATGCATTTGTATGATAGTCGAAGGGAGCCCGAGACGCGGTCCGATCCAATCCAGCCCGAGGCTGTATGTACTATAATAACTTATACGACAGCAAGCATTGCTCCGTTAATTAACGGTACAGTCTGCATGAGAAACTAATTGCAAGAATTGAATATATGATGAGTCACTTGAGCGCTAATGATGACGGGACGTCGGCCTCTATAGTCGAAACCTTGTTAATGCATGTGTATTAAACGTACTAATATAATGGTCGGCCCACATGTGCGATCATTTTCGGAGTCCGCTCGCGACTCTACACCGTCGTCTTCATTGCTACGCACCGTCGCCGGGTGCCACGTACAATGCCGGCCTCTACAGATGAGCCCGACTAACTGCGCGGCCGGCAGCGCTGCGTGATGCATGTCGGATCACTTCAATGTTAATCATGATCTAATTATAAGTTTGCATGATTGCTTGAAGAGCTGCGCGGCATCGATCGTGTAAGCGCGACGTACACGATTCTACGTCAATCAGAATGTTTTATTTATTCTGCAAACGTAAGCCTGCAGATAACTTAGCACATAATAGTTGACTGCGTCGAATCGTCCGGAAAGAATTGTTGTTAGTAATCACATGGATCGTGCTTAAGTCGTACACGACCGTAACGGCGCAGCAGCCGCGCTTAAGCTATAGCCACCGCGTGACAGGACGTTCACAACTTCCCGACACACGCGTACATGTTACTACGCTGACCCGACGGTACCCTCACTATAGCTATACCGTCCGACTGAGGGCACTCGCCAGGCATGCTGGCCGGGCCGCCGCGGTAGCGGGGCCCTCTACTTCTGTATGCGGGCCACTGCATGTACGATCTTTCAGAGTGGTGGTTCCACGAGCAATTCCAATGAGGCGCCATGTATCGCGCAGCGCCAAATGGGTGCAACATGCATGCAATCACCTTCACAAGCCGAGGGCCATCATGGCATAGGACCTCGGGCATGTCACTGACACACGTGCCAGAAAATCCGAACCAGAGCACAGTGCCAGACAAAACAACGGCAGAAGGCCGATCGAGCATATGCTCTGTCAATACTGCAAAGTGCGTTTGTTCCCAGCCTACCGCCACGTGTCTCCATTTACTTTGGTCAAATGATGGGCGATTTGGATTTCCACGTCAATACTGCTTCTGATCGAGTGACAAGATGGGCTCACCGCTTTCAAAGGCGTCGGATAGCAGCGGCGACCTTTTCAGGCCAATCTGCAGAGAGTGATGGGCCTAGCTGTATGAAACTGCATATGCGCGTGAATGGGGAACACCAGTCCCCTGGTCCTCACAAAAGTTCGTAGTATCCTAGCTCGGAGCATGATAATTCAGGGGCACACAATATTTCGATGGTCTCGTGAATACTTCTGTGCTCAACAGGAGCTCCGCCACGAATCAAGTGGATCTAGAATCACATGCAGTGTACAGTAATCAGCAGTTTCCAAGACGCAATCATGAGCAAGACGGTGTCGAGCACCCCACATGCCCAGCACTGCTTCACTTATTATCTCAGCGGACGAACATCGGAAACAAGCCGACTACCATTCGCCCACTTTTGTGCAGGGTTAAGAGCAGATTTGGTAGGGCAAGACAAACTTGGTGGGACAAGACAAACTGACTTTGCGCTTCTTCTTGAAGGGCCAGGCAGATGCCGTGGCATCGCGTGTTTAACACTTCATACCGTCCACAGGATTGTCGGTTTCCGCCTCTCTCAAACAGAAAAGATACTTTTGTTCAAGAGGGTTCTTCAAACCAGAAGGTTGGCATACCTTCTTGAGCGAAGTGGCCAGCACCGTCGAGAACGGTCGTCGAGAACCACGGCCGTCCGTTCAGGGTTGCGATCAGATCGGACGGCTGAGAAAGCCACTGCCGAGGAAACAGTGACAGCGGGTTAGACCTTCTCGTAGCGCATTCCTGAAGCCAAACGAAGCCAAGCGGCAGGAACAGGCGGAGCGCAGAAGTCTGGAACGGCTAGAGGTCATACAGTAACCATGTCGCTATGGTCGAACTTTCGACGTCAAAATAAAGACGCTTGAGATTCATCATGAATGAAAGGTTGTACCCTGTCTGGCGCAAACCCTTTGCGGAGCCTGTAAAGCGTTTCAGCAGCCTATGCTAAACCATTGGCCATCGCAAAAATCTGTAATCCGCTTGGGGAGAGTTAGTTTTATGGCGGGGTTTGAAGGCCGGCTGACTGAGACACAGCGTCTCTGCTGTCCCGTCCACATGGCAAGAGCCCAAGGCACCCGCACTGGGTTTTGGTGACGTCAGCAATCCCTTCGTCAACGCTTTGAAAACAAGTGACTTACACATCGTCTTTTTCGAGGTAAGTTGGGAGGAACGGAAGCCTTTGTCTAGGTGCCGAGAAGAACGGCGGAGAGGTGAGAACCCGCTAACCTTGTCTTGACTGCAGAGGGTCAGGAGAGTTGGCGTCCGATAGGCGTCTGACGTCAGCAGCGCTCGGCAGCGTGCCACGTCATTTTTCAAGTCTAGGTTCTTTACCGCTGCCTGCAGGCAAATCCTCGGAATCGAACAATTCGGTCAAACCTTGAAGACAGCTAACGAAATGACTTCTGATCAAAAAGCCAAGCCATGAACTAAACCAGAAACATTTTTCACACGCATAAATTAGGGCGATCCAAAAAGGCCATTGCACAAAGCAGTCTGCAACTCAAGCTAGTGGAAACGGTTAAGGTCTCACAAGCGCTGCGAAGCCCGCGTCCGAAGACTCCATGTACGGCTGCCGATACACCTGCATCGAGATCGTTTTCACTCTTAAGCAAAGCATCTAGCGCTTATTGTAGGTAGACGCAAACATGCGAAGTGCACCGAACAGACGAGGGCTTCTCGAGCCAAAAGCATTTTTACTGTAGAAATCTCGATTGCTTCGTATGAACACCGAAACCGCTCGCTTCACGATTGCCAACTTCCGCCCCGTCTCAATTCCTATCCAACATGTCTCTTCAATTCAGGTACAGTAAGCTCCAGGTATAGTAAGCTCCTAGCCTAACACTAAAAAACCAACCCTCAAAGTCACGCGCTCCGCACCCATACCCACCCTAAACCCCCAAAGTAACCCCACCCGGGCCAGGCTGCTTGGCTTACTCTTTTAAAGCTTACTGTACCTAAATCGAACCCTTATCTATCCAACAGCAAAGCTCGCTAAATGGACACAGCGTTACGGTCGAAAAGCAAAGCGAGTTCAGATTGTTTCTGAACAAGGGCGAAATAACACCATCGCCCCTTACCTGCAAGTCGTCTTCGGACATTTCGTACGGTCCGGAAGAGTTGAAGCTCAGGTCCGCGAGACGCGTCGGATCTTGCGCAAAAGCGGCGCCAATGAATGGAAGCGTCATCTGCAGAGACAAAAAGCGGCATGCTCTCGAAGCGGCACTTAATGCACTTGCTCTCCATTCTTTGAGGAGCTTGACAACTTTCGTATCAAAACCTTTCGGCGTAAACTCGCTACACTTCGACGATGTACCAGAAAAACAATGTACTTCATTGCTTCAGATGTCAGCCAAAAGGAAATGCGCTCGAAGGCGCTTCCTTGATCGAACTCCACTTTACCGGTCTTCTCGGTTGCGCCCGACCGAAGTCCGCCAGGGTCTGCGTTCATCTAATAAAGTAGAAGCTTTTTTCTTTCTTGCCCGGACTACTGCTAATGAGTCCCTGACGTCAAAGTCTAGACGTCATCGTTACTGCCTCCCTGGAGCCCATACTTTAGGCAATGAAAGCTTGCCGAGAGACCTTTTTGACCTCTCAACGCTCACTTTACTTGAGTTGCGTGTCAACAGAACTTCCCTGCACTGGGTGCTCTTTTCTTGCGGTATGTCCGTTGAACTCTGTGCAGGTGTTCTGGCGTGAAAGCCTGGTCTTCTTTCCGGACGACTTGGTTTGCTCAACCACTAGGGTTTCCGTCATTTGGGTCTGGGACAGAACGATTACCTGCTGGAAGGGCTTCGGTAGTCTGCAGTCTTCTCGCAAAGGAGCGTTCATGATCACCAGCTTTGCCACGTGGTCTGCAGGAGACAAAGTTACGTCAGCCTCGCGCAATGGACACGTCATCGAGAAAATTTCAGAGATTCCTCCTCAGGCCGATAATAATATCCGAGTATCCTGGAGCAAGCAAAGGCAGGTCGTAAGATAGATCCAAGTGAGCAACGCCCATCAACATATATATTACAAGTCAATTCTGAAGGACAGCGCGTTCTGCTCTTCGAATCGAAGGATGCTTACAAAGGCACAAACTCGACGCGAAAATGCCCCCGACAAGATCTGCCGTAGCAAGCAGAGGGTCAGAGGAAAGGCTGCTACACGCATCATTCTCCCGTGCAGCTGGCCAGTCAGCAAACCGATCAGTTCCGAACCAGCTTGCTTCTTTTTCCGTATTTCTTTCAAAGCAGCATGTGGCTGGGCACCGCGAAAGAAAGAATACCAAGAGGCCGACGTAACTCTTAAACGAGTAAGATTCGTACGTGCATGATAATGGCGGGTTCCCGCTAGGTTTGGGAATGAGTACCGGGATGAGCTGCCGCGTATTGGATCCCCGACGTTCCGCCCAAGAAGCCCTGCAGAGGATTGGCTGACGTTTGAGGGTTCGTGGATAAGAAACATTTAATCTTATCTAATACTTTATTTTTTGTAATATCAAAGACGAAGTAAAAATATTCCTCTCCCAAAGGGCATTGGGATGAAATCAGGTTCGAAATTTCCTTTTCTTTTTATATATTCTAGGGTTTTGAAACAACCTACGGATCTGTTAAGAGAGGGCGTCCACATACGTATCTGATTGACTATAAGAGACGACTGCACCGCGCGCCTCTCGTTCGTCGTGTCGCCAACAAAGGTTTCTGGTGAGTTTTCCCCCAAGCATACTCACAGGAGACGAGCGCTGACGTTTTCGACCGACCAATCGACACGCTCTTTGTGGACCATCTCAAAGAACGCTGATGATGTCAAGTTCTCACCGTTTCAAAGGGCCATAAAGATGTAAAGCTTTTGATCGGCGGAAGCGAGAATTGCAAGTCTTTGAAAGGACAGCCGTCATAGATGATTTAGCTCACCCCCATAGCGACTTCCTTCACAGCTTCTACAGCCTAAAGGTTCCCAACAAAGGAACGTACACTTGAAGAAGGAGTTTCAAAACAGCAAGGACGCGAAGCATTTCATGAGGGCGTTTATCTCTGCTAACTGAATTTTCGGAGGTTTGATCACAAAACCCTCGCTAAAACTCACTTGTGCCACGAGCGTGACTTTCTCCAGTCCCAGCGCCACTACTAGCCCTTCCAAACCGTCCAAAATGTCAGTCGGGCGGTAGCCGAACGTCTTGGGGCTTGGTTTGTCGGACAGTCCGAAGCCGGGCCAGTCGAAGCCGATTGCCCGGTGACCTGTTTCCAAACAGGGTTACAAACATGGTCGTTGTAAGTCCTGCGTGTAACGACAGGCTTCCGAAGGTTGCAAGAGAAGACGCTGCCATCTGCCAAACTTTGTTGTTTTGCAGAGACTCAAAACCCAGCCTCCTCTTCAAAAAACCGGCCTTCGTAAGGTTGCCTTTCGACTTTGCTGATCATTCAAGGAAGATTTAACCGCTAGCAGAGAAGGCTCCTTGGAATCATGCTCTAGGTTGTCATCACTTAGCAGAGGTGTTGAAAAGCTCGGCAAGTTGTCCTGATTTTTTTTCCTTTTCCTTTTCGTTGTTTTCTCGTAAGACCGCTTCAGCTTTCATCAGATTCTTATCCAGACCAGCCTTCCTTGACTTTGAAGACTTCAAATCAGCATTTCGTCCACGACTACAGTCCCCATGACAAACTTACATCTTCATCATGTCGCTGCACAGATACAACAGTTACTTGAAGTGCACAATTACACGCAAGAATCACCAACTTGGATATCTGACAGCACCTCAATTCCTGAAGGGAACATACGCACCGTTTGTAAGTTCCATCAGAATGGATTACGAGTTCTTGCCGCGCAGGCTTACCCGCTTCGCAAAGCAGACGGATCACTTCCCGGAAGGAATACGAGTGCGCTGGAAGGCCAGGCAACAGGAGGATAGTGCTTTTCGGAGGTCCTGTTTCAGGACCTTCGTCAACAACAAACCTGCAAGTTGTGAAAAGGAAACGAAGTGGTTAGCCCTTCTCTGCCGTGATTGGTAGCCAAGAACGCTGCTCCGTCCGGGCAACCTTCACATTCTGTTCAACTTCATGAACAACGGACTGGGTAGACTTCTGGTGAACTTTGGTGATGACTCCTATGTTAATAGTGAACGATGACAGCTTCAAAGCAGCGAGGAGTAGTGGCGGGACTCACGCCCTCCGCGCCCTTCCTCAAATTTCCTTCCTGTCTATCAGGCTTCTTGAGCGCGTCGAAGATTGGGACCACTTTGCCAACATTCAGCATTGCAGAGAGCGCATAGAGCTCAGTATATCGAATTCAAAATGTCCTGTTCTCAGTGTCAGTAAATGAAACTTTGAGATACTCCTTTCCATCTTGCAAAGGGAAGCGATAATCTTGCGTCATGGGATCACTATTCTAGGTTCTCCTTCGTCTCAAGTTTTAGGCGACTCAGGCTTATGCGTTCGTACATGAGAGTATCAATCTAACATGAGATACACCCTCCGCCCTGCTGTTATGTTGTTCAGTCAATACCGTTGAAAGCTATAATTGACTTGCTGGACTGGTCCATTTCAATCAGTCCTTGACAGGAAGCGATGTGATCCTTACCACTCATATCCCGCAACAGTCACCAACTTCCCTCTCTTCTCCCAGGCCTCCGTCAATGGACTCTTCCGGATGCCCTTCCAACCTACAGATGAAAATGATGTTAAAGGGTCATTCTAAAATGGTCCATGGATTGGTACCTGCCTCCTGCTTCTTCTGTGCTCGAAAAGAAGGCGACTGATGCTTTGCAAGGGGGACTACTGGCAGATAGCTGCCTTTAACCTGTATTTGCAGATTTGCGAACCTCCTTTTCGAATTATGAGACATAGGGGGTAGTGTGAGACCAAAACATCTTGCGTTCTTCAATTTTGGTTGGGTATCTTGCATCGAGCGATTCAACCAGGCCAACTATTCAGGAGTCTGGGAGAGGGACAAGAAGCGTAAGAGGAACATACTGTGTTGTGAACATCGACACTGCGGTCCACCCGAAACACGTGAATGTGGCCTGCAGATCTTGAAGTCCCTGCTTTTAGAATGTCCTTGAGGTGTTTCACAAAAGGCACTTTGGGCAGTAGTGCTGGTCAGACAAAGTCTAGCTTCACATGGGGGGGCGATTTGGATAAACGGCGTAACATTCTGACTAACATTCTGACTAACATTTTGACCATTCAGATTCGGATGAACATGAAGCCATTCCCCCAGAGGTCAATACTCAGCTAAACGAGAATGTCCAAAAACCTCTGCAAAGCAAGAGATTGACAGCGCTCTCTTTCAAAGGAAAATGCAACTTACCACCGTAAGCATCAGGTGCTTCATACAGATCTCCATCTTCGTACATTGGCTCTTCAACGTTCGTCCCAGCCCTGATTGCATGGCCTGGAGTTGAGCATCTCTTTCTTCCACAGCATTGCAAGTATTTCAACAAAACACCACCGCAAAAGTCTGCTGCAGCATTTGAGCAGCTTCCCGAGTGCAGAAACTGACTCACAGACTCTGATGTCACTTTTGAGCACCTTGCATTGCTTTTTGCTGTCGTTGCAATGCTGTATGAGCAACGCTGAGCAGCCTTGCTGTCAGCAAAGGCAGAATGTGCAGATGTTTGGCGCCATACAGCGTTTGCAAATGCAGCCGCCTGGGAATCAAAGGCCACAATTGCTTGCATAGTGGCCTTCAATCAAAGAAACCACTTGCCTTGCTGACAAAGAAAGCAAGCTTGCGAGCTGCCCTTGCAAGCGCTACAGGCTCAGCCACTACGGTACAGCCTGCATTGGCTTGCATTGGCCCGAGGCTGCACAGGACAACTCGAGTCTCTGTGCCGCGCTACAGAGAAAGCGACGAAGCAAGGTTCGATTCGAAACGTTTTTCCTGCGGTACGGTGAGGTGTGGTTCGTTTATCCGTCGAACATTCAAGTTCCTCAGATGGCGCAGGTGAAGCGCTGATTAGGGTTAGGGTTCCGTCCAGACCACAATGTCCACAAGCCTTGTCTACAACTTCGAGTTCATGATCAAATTATGGAGCTCTACTTTCAAATTTGACTTTGAAAGCCCAATGCCAATGCCAATGGTACCAATATCTCAACCCATTCTCATACCCCTATGCACAGAATACTCACATAGGCATGCAGCGTCACATGTCTATTTAGCATACAGTCATGTGGAGCTGTGAACACATATCCTGCCAGCAGCTATGATTTGTCCACCGGGGATACATTTGTAACAGTGCCGTATGTGCTTGGAGCGGACAAAGGTTGGAATCGAAGACACACAACTTGTAGGAATGCCGGGATCGCGGATTCAAGTAAGTAAGCTTATGTTTACTCGGTTTGCCTTTTTGTTTGATATCCTGACATTATGCATGAGATATTTGTGACAGGGTCACACATTGAAAGCCTTGCAATATGTTTCTGCGACGGACATATGAAGGCAAAACTATTTCGGCTGTTTATGTACCATTTTTGCCACATATCCATGGTAATGCAACGTTACCGACCAGCACAAATGGCCGGACAACCAGACTGCGCGACTCGAGAAAGGCCACGAGAATGTCGCCAACCACTACAAACTACCGTGACTCTTGCTTTTCCAATGTACCCGGTACATACATATCAGCAAGCTCCATATGTTCTGCCTCTCTACATACGCCACTCTAGCTACTACTACTAGATCACGGTACCATGGATCTGGCGCGAAAATTGCAGGATCTACTTCCTGCCAAAGCGCGCCCTTCCGAGTCAGGCTCATGCAGACAAAGCAGATTTTGGATCAGCATCATCAGCATCGCTGCTCTGCCAGGGCAGTCAGATGTAGTAAGTAGGTCTGCCTCGGGCTGGTCAGCACAAACTTCTAGCTGAGATCTGCAGTCTGATCGTCGTCAAGAAGTGAAGGGCACGAAAGGCCAGCAATGTCCAATGCAGGTTCCATCAACGCTGAGCTCAGCGATGCAGACAAGAAGCTAGTCGCCTCTCAGAGGGTCAAAAGGTTGCCTAAAACCGTCCACCAGCAAGTTAAGGACTTAGAAGCGCGGTATACAACCTTCATTGCAGCTCCTCGCAATCAACGCTGGAGGGCAGCGCTACCTCCCAACTTCAAGTCCACTCCAATCACCTTCTCAGTAAATGAAGGCATCACTAGCACAGACAATATTTTGAAAGTGCAAAGCTTCAAGGTCCTGTTGGGACTGCAGTCAGCATTTCAACAGATACAAAAGTCGACAGATCCTCCCATGCTGGTCTCAGATTTCGCAGAGGACCAGCTCCTAGAATTAGACCCTGCAGACCGGCAGCTCATGTTAGGATCAGTGCTGAGCCTGCAGATCGCTGACCTGGCAGCAGTGCGGTCCCTATGCCAGGTGCCAGAGGCTCAAGAAAGCCTCAAGGATTTCATAGAGACAGAGCAGTTTAGGGTCTTGGAGTTTCTGCAGCTAGAACTAGCAAGGGTGCAGACCTATGAGCCGGTTCTTCCTGCCAATTTCATGTCTGAGGACCAAAATACGGTCGCTGATGCCGGCCAAGGTGAGGGCGGAGATGAGGATGTGTTGGAGGCGGTCTTAGAGCAGGCTATGGAAGGCGAATCTCGGGCGCAGCGTGAGGTGAGATTGATCGGCTGGAGCAGTGGCAGTGTCTCTGAGTCTGATTGGTTGCATCAGTTGCACCACGTTTGTACTAATTGATTGCGTCCAAGTGACACTTTGTGAAGAGGGGACTGTCTTTTGTTGAGGGTAGGCACTCAGCACCACGGGTTTCGTCGAGATACTGGCACGCGATGGCTTCCGGAATAGTTGTATCATCTTAAACCTTTTTGTCCAAGGCTCCCTTTCTATCGACTCTTCATTGAGACTTTTCAGCAAATGACCAGAAATATAGTAGCTTTTGTGAACCTTGTATGTTACTTGAGAGCGTGACCATGGATTGCTGTAAGCTTATTCATTGCGCTTAGATCTTGGAGGAGCTTGAGAGCTGATCGACGCCAGCTCTCTGAACAGTCACACGTTTCCCCTATCCCAACTGCCAAATAACATCTCGGCCCTACATCTAAGCTGTTTGCTGGACCTCACCTGCATGTCATTTTCCTGAGAGAAGACATCAAATTTGTCAGTGATCATCGCTCTTACTAGTAAGTCTGGCTTTTCAACATTTCACATCAATGAAAGCAACTGCAAATGTTGGCAGATGTTGGCACGCCTGCGCTAGGATTGAGACACTGCCCTGGTTAAAGAGAAGAGGAACCAAAGCTGCTCATGAGAAGTGCACTTGACGTGCCCATTTTCCTTGATGTCCACACAAGCTCAAAGTATGGGTGACATCAAGAAGGGTCGTTTGAGTCTGACCAGAAGCACCAACTCGTCAGAGCACACTCCAGAGAAGCTAAGGTGTCGCTCCAGCTTTAACTTGGAAATCACCCAGATGGGAAAAAACCTTCTCCATATTTTTCCTGCCAATCGGATGTATGAGTTTTTTGATCCCTTCTTGAAACCATGAATCACTTCCATCCTCCAGGAGATGCCAGTAGACGAGAGTTTGGGAGGCCTCCACGCGCGCGCGGATCTTTTGTCGACGCAGTCGGGCCTGAGATACCTTGCGGAGGGGCTTGCAGATAACCCATTGATGGACGAGGCTCTGCCTCCCTATTCAAGTGAAGACCTGGGGCCTCCAAGAGTGAGTGAACAGGCGCCTCGTGCGGTGCTATTTGATGTCTGGTTAGCTTGGCAGTTGGTTTAGTACTCGAATGTTTCCTTGAACTCAATTGGAAAGGTTTTCTGCACAATTTCTGCCCATTTTTTTCTGCACACGACACTTTGTTCTTTCGCAAGTTAACCATGCGCGTCAAATCCAAAAGTGAACAAGTATGGGGAGTGTTTTTCTGGAACTCGTTGGACTGATTTTTCGAATATACTCTCATTCAAGCGTCTTCTCGTTCGGACTGGAGCCCAAGTGAGGTCCAAGTCTTGATGAGTCACTGCCCAACAGTTATCGTTAATGCTGGAAGTTGGCTGCAACTAGTCAACTAAATGATGTCCTCGAAGGTCCCAAATTTACACTAGCTTCAAAGTTCCTGTTGAGAGCTTTTGAGTTGCGTTGGCATGTCCGCGCATGCTTGGCCCGACTTGAAACCTCCTTTCTATCGTTTCAGAGGTCGAGCGGTGGTCATTTGGAAAATTTGATGCAGAAACTCTTACCTAAGAAATCAGTATCTCGTTTCCTTGCACAGCCCGTTAGCTCTGCAAGGCTCAACTGTCTGTTGGAACTTGACCCGAGCAACTTTCTGCTTTTCACAGGATTCTGCACGAAGCCAGGATCCAACAGATAGTACCTCGAAGGAGGTCGGCGGACTGAGTGGCGCTGGGGAGCAACAAGCAGGTGCGTTTCCTTTGACAGCTTTGTGAGTTTTCGAAATGCAGAAACTTAGGTTATTGTGTTGATGGCCCAAAGCTCACAACAGGCAGCAAATTAGTCACACTCGAAGTGGGAGCGAAGCGACGGTGACTGGAGATGATTATACACGTGTGCTCAACCTGGATTCATCGCACTTGCATTTGCTGATGCTTTCAATCTTGCTGAACATTCAACGCTGTCTTCGATCATTCAAGCCGCGTACCCGTTTAAAAGTTCCTCTCTCTTGGAGAGCTGCTGGAAGTGAAGGCCTGATCTCAGTTGCGGATCAAGCACGAACATGCCAACGAGCATGCCTCCAATACACCAAAGCTTTGAGTTATCAAGTCCGACATTAATAAGCTTGGGTCCATTGTCATTGTGCATTGTTAAAGAGCCGTATACAACCCTGTGTACATGCATAACAATCCTTGTCCTGGAGTCTTGCAGCTGACCCGTCAAGAGGGGCCTCTTCACCGGCAGACCCGCTTGCTACTACAAGGGAGGGGTCCGTCTTGCTGGGACCACAGCTGTCACACGAGCAGGAGCCGCAAGCACAGGCAAGAGAAGCACACATTGGCCAAGTGGGGCAGCCCGTTCCCTCGGTGGTCCCGCCCGGTGCTTCCTTCCTGCAGTTCCCTTGCCCCCAAGATGTGGTCGGAGGTGAAACGGGGCAGCCCAGTATGGAAGAAGTCTTGCCAACTAGGCATTCCGCTCACATCGGGGACGTGCGTGGTAATCAATCGGGGGGGCAGCCCATTTCCCAAGGGGTTCCACAAACTGGGCAGCCCGATCGTCGGGGAGACGCGTGTGATAGGCGACCAGGGGAGAAGCCCCTTTCCTCAGGGGTCACGCTAACCGGGCAGTCCGCTCCCAAGAGAGACGCGCGTGGCAGTCCGCCGGGGGAGCAGCCCGTCGCACAAACCAGGCAGTTCTCTCCTGAGGAAGACGCACGTGGCAGCCGGCCGGAGGAGCAGCCCAGTTTCCCGGGGGTCACACAAACCGGGCAGTCCGCTCCTGAGGGCGACGTGAGTGGCAGCCGGCCTTGGGAGCAGTCCTTTTCCCCAGGGGTCACACAAACCGGGCAGTCCGCCGCTCAGAAAGACGACGCGCGTGTCAGCCAACCGGAAGAGCAGCCCCTTTGCCCAGGGGTACAACGAACCGGGCAGTCCGCTCGCAACGGAAATGCTTTTGCTGGTCAAAGTGGTGGGCCACCTTCTCCCCTTGGGGCCCCGTTCGACGATGAAACCGGGCGGAGAGGCGCGTCTGAAGATGTGCCGGGCGGCCAGCCGGGGAGGCAGCAGATTGACGCAGACGCCCCGTTTGTTGTGGGGAGGGAGAACGTCGGCTTGGGTGAAGGGCAAGGTGGAAATGAAAGGGCCCGTATCCCAAACCGGGGAAGAGCCTTCCAAGGAGAAACGGACCAGCACTTTCGGGGACCGAGTCCTCTTTTTGGGCCCCAAGGTGGCCCCACAACTGCCCCCCCAGTCACATTCGACGCGATGATGCAACCCGACTGGGATGCGTCTCGTGGTTTTCCCGGATTTTGGAATGCTTCGGCTGACGAGGTGAGTTCAGGTTTCCTCGATTGTTGAGGACCAAGCACGTCAGACTCCTCCTTTTCTCAACCAAATTCCTTGCAATTTCTTCAGAGCTCGACGAGGCCTCTTGGTTTTGGTTTGGGATGTCAGCGGCATGCAAGTGTGAATTGCATCGTTTTGCAGGTCAATCTGTCGCTCGCTTTCAATCATCAGCCCTTAAGCTTAAACGTAGGAAAATAAAAGTGGTCTCGAAGTCGAGCGGTGTCCCAGTAAAAGCCTGAGCTCATGGGCAACAACCTCTGATACCTTTACAGGGTGAAGGATCATGGCCAAAGTGGCCCTTCCAGAGCAGATGCTTGCTCTCTTTTGTAGGTTGTCAATCAGGCACCTAGCAAGAATGTTGTCTGATTGCCTTTGTTGAATAACTCATCAGAACATTGTCTGCCAGTCGCTTTTAATCGACTCTATTGCCACACTTCAGGAGCTATATACGGAGGAAGGAACTCCTCAAGAGCGGGTTGTTCCCAGGTCTGACGCTGGGCGTTCATCCGCTACATCTGATGTGCCAACGGAACCGCCGTCTTTCAGTGCGGACCCTCTCAGCAGCCAGGTAACAACAGCGTGCCCTGCCTTCAACCTATATGTCATATCGGGCTGATCCCAAAGTCTGCTCTATTGCGGTTTTCTTTTGCAAATGCCACTCGCTTCTTTGATTGCTCCTCCGTAAGGATGGGAACTGAGCTGACGTGACATGATCGCAACCCATCGCTTCCTGACCGGACCGCAGTCCGCACTGTATTCTTTGAAACCTCCCCGATACAAAGACCTTCTGTTACCAACTTCTTAGCAACCTTGCGCAATGTGGAATCAGGCTTACCAGCAGACAAAAGCGTTCTTGCTCTCTGTACAGCATGCTCAGAGAGTTTCCTTGGAGCTCCAGATCGCGGTCGATCTTGTATTCCCTCTCCGAGATTTTCCCGTTTTGTCCAACGGCTTACCAAC